ATTCAGTACTTAAAAGTATTAAAACTCTTGTCTGAAAACAAGACCAAAGTTCTGCTCATTGGGTCTCTTAGGATACTGTATTCAACTAAAAAAGAAGAAGCAGGAAACCATGACAGCAATCATTTACAGTGTTCAAAATTAAAGGGGTTCCTGGTTCCACCTAAGACACTTATTACGTTTGGTTGTTACATTAGGGATAAGACATCACAAGAACCCCTTGAATCTCATGCATCATACTGCCAACTGATCATGTATTTATTAAAGGTTCAACCATTTGGCCACAATTATGTCCACATTTGTGAAAAGAATTCTCCCAAAATATTGAACTTATCTACCCAATCTCCCACCTGTCAATCAAAAGGTTCTGTTTTTCAGGGCATATGGGAATGTGGTGATTGATCCTGCAAAGTTATACCTTACTCAGCATACTTAAGCAGAAATTGAGAAGAGTGGCCTCGAACCCACTGCACTCCACAGAGTTCCATTAATGAAAAATAACTGCACTTTACTATTTGAATTTTATCATGTAAACAATTGTTCTCAGTGAAAGTAAATGTTGCTTTTCTGCTGCAGTCAGCAATTTTCAACTTTATCTAGGTGGTCTGCAAACATGCTAAATAATAAATTCTCAGCTGTGAAAACCAGCAAACAGCAAATGCAGCGATCCACACCATCTGGATCAAATGATGAAGACATATGAGCACTGTGATCCATTGTAACACAAAAAGACTGCTAAACTTAGCCATGTTAGACAACACTTTGGACTAGCATTAGATACGAGCATTTATTCAACCACAAAATTAAAATGCAGCCACTTATCAAGTATGAATCATGGCAAGTGAGTGAGTGAGTAGGATTTTACGCTGCCTTTAGCAATATTCCAGCAAAATCCCATTCCAGAAATGGGCTTCACACATTGTGCCCATGTGGGGAATTGAACCCGGCGCTTTGGCGTGACAAGCAAATGCTTTTATCACTTGGCTATCCCACCGCCCCGAGGTTTGAAAGGAACTAATGTACTTTCATTTTTCAGTGTCAGTGTGAAACACAATTCTCACAGCAACCTGCAGTGAAATTTGTGTACATTGGGCATGCTGCACACTGAGTCAATACTTAAATATATCACAAGACAGCGTTAGAAATTGGCACTAGTCCTATAGTCCTTGCCAAACTGCCCAATGGTAAAGGTATCATAAGGACTAGTAGAAATTTGCCCTTTTTAAGGGTTTTTCTTTACCTTTTATGTTATCATTATAAGGACTAGTGGACGAAAACTGTTAGTTTCTAACCCTGCAAGAGGAATCTACATGAGAAAGTGCAACCCTTCAGGCTCTGCAACATGATGCTATGTCACCATCCCCTGGGTAAGAGGCAGTCAGGCTAATTCATATTCCATACAGTGGCCCCAATCATTTTCTACAACCAATTCCAGCTCTGCCTAGGCATGGCTTCCTATTGCTGTAGAATCAATGTAACATGTTGTGCTTTTACCACATCAGTCTGTTCACAGCATAAGCGGCACTTCAGCCCCTGAATAATTCACATGAGCATTTTTCTGATTCTGCTGTTGGTTAGATCAAGTTCAACAGAAATTCTTCGCGTAAACCCTTGTGTTGTCTAGTCGAAAGGATAACAAACCTATTTGGGTTGCAAATAAACATGCTTGAACATGTTCATCATTAAGAAAACTAGTCACAAACTCAGAAATCATGATTCATTTTCTTCTGAGTAAGCCATGTACATATAGGGTTGAAATTGAAGATGAACCCTAATTTGACATGACAATATACATGATATAAATTTTCACAGATTGCCATTGAAAATGATAAGCAATATCATCATAATAAAGAAGTTGACATCCATAAATTTTTCTTCCTTAACTGTTAACATCTTCAATATTGCAATCTTTTTAACCCCTGATAACTTTTAAAAAATACATACAGATGTAGAATTAAATCATGAAAATCCAAAGCACAGAGAGAGTGAGTGAGTGAGTATGGTTTTACACCGCTTTTAGCAATATTACAGCAATATCACGGCGGGGGACACCAGAGAGAGAGAGAGAGAGAGAGATTTGCATTCAAATAAAGGATGTGTGTCTTTTTTAACTTAAAAATTCCTTTTGAAAACTGCAGCATGTTTAACATTGTTTGAAAATGTCAGTAGACATGGTACAACAAGAAATAAAATCGCCCTGGTCTTAATATAGTATGCAGAATGCAACAGTCTCAGATACAGATTTGCAGTGTAAGGTGGACTCTATGAAAGCTGAGATGTGATGCAATGATGTGAGCAAAGATGTGAGGCAATGAGAAGTGTAACAGTCTCAGATATAGATTTGCAGTGTAAGATGGACTCTATGAAAGCCAAGAGGTGATGCAATGATGTGAAGCAAAACGTGAGGCAATGCACAAAAAAAGCAGCTTAACACCTGTGCAATTTTCTCTTCACACATGTAAAAGCAGTGTGTGCATAATTATTGCAGACTAATCTTTTCTTTGTGAATTCACTATTACCATCTGATGACTATTCAGCAAATAGACACAATTACATGCACATGATGAAGTGGTGATTCCCTTTCACGTTGCAACATGTCAAGGACGCTCAGATGTCCAAGAACCTCCACTTTTAACCACTAATTTTTGTTTTAAAGATTGCTTGATAACATTATTTTGCTTTATTGCAATACAGTGCCTCTATCAATACCCATCAATTTATAATGGAAATGTGACAAGTGTTTGGAAGGGACATGACTATTTTCTTGTTTCTTTTACTGATTCTTTCAAGTATACATATAGTTACCAACTGTTCTATTTGCAAAGCCTCCATTTTCATTTTTTGTTTGTATTCTACATTCTACTAAGTATTTTGCGCAGGCAGGCATTTTATCGGTAAAATATTTTCAAGAAAAGGTTCAGCAGCATGGTACCTTAAACAACATTGACACATACGTGAATTCCTATCTTGAACCTGCCACACATTAAGCAGTGTTGTGAAAGTCTGAGAAGAAATGAGTGAATCTAGCATGTGTGTTGGGAGCTTGGAAGATATGATGAATCATATCATATGGATAATATTCCAGGCTGTCTCAGGAATCAGGTTAGGGCAAACAGACGTGATGGCATCAATGGTGTCTTGTGTTAACACTAGTTTTTCTTCAATTCTAAACGCAATGGTCTTACAAGCCCTACAAGAGCATTAAATCTCAGTCTGTCACAAATGTTAGCCTATCTGTTAGAATTGTGGAATCTGAGGCCACTTTGGTTAAACTAGATCACTATTAAGAACTCTTGATATTGATACGGACATGTACAGTACAATGCACTGTTGTTGAGTAAAGCTAAACATTTGTGAAGATATTCATATTTTGACAAAGGATGACATATGTCTGTGATCAAGGTGATCTCTTGAAAGAATTAGGCTTATTTTCCAAAACAATATTTTGATGTCACACGTTCATGATATTTTAATACAACATGAAAAGACTGTTTGTTGTTTAACACTGCTCTCAGCAATATTCCAGCTATATGATGGCGGTCTAAATAATCGAGTCTGGACCAGACAATCCAGTGATTGACAATATGAGCATCAACCGACACAATTGGGATACGATGATATGCATCAACCATGTCAGTGTGCCTGACCAACCGACCCTTTTAGTCGCCTCTTATGACAATCATGGGTTTCCGAAGATCAATTCTAACCCATATCTTCACAGGGCAGTTGATTAAGCTAGCTTGTCAATCAATACCACTTGAAGACTATAAGATATACCATGATATACAGAATGTTACACACAATTAATGTAACAATACAAATCAATCACCAGCTCTGCCATTGACGTTTTTAAACCGATTTCAAACTCTGCATTTAACATACACCATTAATGACATCACATCTGTTCAAATTCCAAGGATCTCACAGCTAGACTTCAAACATCTAGACTATCATGAGTTCATATGAACTGGGTGAGGGTCTAAAAACATGACGTAATCAGATATTTAATCCTTCCAGACAAGTCAGTGTAAAAATTGTCTTGTTTTATGTCCATGGAGCAATAGTAAAACAAGAACTGTCCCAAATTATGTCATCTATTCAGTACCATGACCACAAACCAAACATTTATCCATTCCAACTTATTACTAATATTTTGGTAATAAGGAATAAACTATAAACAAAACACCTGAATTTTTCACAATTCTTAAAAAATTGTCATGATCAACTAAGCAAATGACCATGATAAGTTGCACCTTATAATCACAAAAAAATAATTCCCTATTTTCAGGAAGTTTTTCTTCCTTATTGGTCATACTCCATTGTGTGAAAGGTGCAGCAAGTCTTCATTTAATGTTTCATATTACCATGATTACTGATGTAAAATTGTTCATTTTTAGAATGAGTAACGAGACCTGATGACTATTAACTATCATCAGGCAGATCTATTTTACAAATTATTATCATAAGCAGGGACTTATCATGCTTATAGACCTGTTCAGAGGCTTGCACTCGGCCACAAGTCCACATCAAAATGTCAATAAAAATTCCCAAATTGGACTTTCAAATTTCCCAATTCATGAAATATTATCTATAACTAATACCTAATTTAATGTCTTTGGAGGAATAACATGTATATCACTGAAAACAGGACCAATATATAGGAAAAGGTTTTAATGCTTATTTAAATAAATACTGCATGGAAATAGTCTCTCGAATCTCAATGTCAAAATACCTCTGAATTAAAGAAGATAACACTTAAAAAATCCTAATTTTTAACAAAATAACTTTTTTTCCTAATTTGCCTGCCATGAGCACTTAGATTAGAATCCTGGATAAATCCCTGGTAAGATATAGTGATTCATGTGAGTGAAACCAATTTATACCACAGATGCTAAAGTGGATTACGAGAGCTAACTTGAGTTCGAGCCAATGGACCAGGACAGATATAAGTAAGAGATGATTTCGACCAGCACTGTGAGATCCCTAAGGTGGGGAGATGTTACCTGTGCTATACCCGTCACAGATATAGCAACACCAAGCTGTGTGTAAACGTTTGGACTCTCAATAGTCAAAGTCATGGTATTGAAGGACAATCTGAAACAGTCAACATGATCTCCTGAGTGTATGCTAATCACACTCCTTGCTTAGCCTAACCTGTGCTATACCTGTGACTGAAACCCCAACTCCCAGTTGAGTGTAAACAGTGGGACTCTCAATAACCAGAGTGATTGTATTGAGAGATAATCTGAAAAATTATGATCACCCGAGTGTGAGCTAATTACACTGCTCGCTTAGCCTCACCTGTGCTATACCTGTGACCATGGTGACCTGCCACTCCCAGTTGAGTGCAAACACTTTCACTCTCAATAACCAGAGTGATTGTATTGAGGGATAATCTTTAAAAAACCTGATCACCTAACTGTTAGTGTTAGCTAATTACACTACTCTCTTAGCCTCACCTGTGCTATACCTGTGACTGAAACTGCCACTCCCAGTTGAGTGTAAACACTTTCACTCTCAATAACCAGAGTGATTGTATTGAGGGATAATCTGAAACAGTCAACATGATGACCTGACTGTTAGCTAATTACACTCCTCGCTTAGCCTCACCTGTGCTATACCTGTGACCGAAACCGCCACTCCCAGTTGAGTGTAAACATTGGGGCTCTCAATAACCAGAGTGATTGTATTGAGAGATAATCTGAAAAAAACATGATGACCTGACTGTAAGCTAATTTCACTACTCGCTTATCCTCACCTGTGCTATACCTGTGACCGAAACCGCCACTCCCAGTTGAGTGTAAACACTGGCGCTCTCAATAATCAGAGTGATTGTATTGAGGGATAATCTGTAACAGTCAACAACTGTCACAAAAAGTACACTAACAACAAGAAACGATGGAACATGGAAGTCAGATGCTTGACAACAATACCAGGAGTCTCACACACAGGCTATAAGAGAACGATGGCCAAGTGCATGCTGGTAAGTTAACATATTAACTGACACGCAGCATGCACAGTCATCATAATGAGCTCATCTTGCCTGCTTCCTCAGGATTATTCTGCCCCTGGGAATAATTGACTGGACAGCTGAATGCAGGTTGTTATTTTAGTCTGTCAGGTTTTATTTACATTATCACTTAAAAAACACATGTGGTGTCTCTTTAGACAAGGAGATTTTGTTTGAAATATGGTTCTGTGAACTCAGCAAGGATTGGATACAAACAGATGAGAGGTAATCATGCTTATGTGCCTGTAAACCTTACAGCGTCTCTGACCCATTAAAGGGCAAGTAAAGCTAACATAGCAACTTGGCAGATCTTAATACTTTAGGGCATACCTAATCACAAATGCTTGACCAAAATTAACTTTGAAAAACAGAAATAGTGTCAACAGACAATACAAAACGACAAGTGAAATCAGTCCCTAAAATAATTTTTTTGTAAAGATTCACCTTAATCAGTTAATTGGGTTAAAACTGGTTCCCTGTGTTTGATGCGATGTGCAGTTTCAACGATCATGATATAGCAGAAACAGTATATGTATAACGGCTAGGAATCACGAGGTAGAAAAACACAGCAAATATATCAGCCAATTAAAACAGTTGTCACTGCTCGCCGGTAGCTTAAGTCTGCTGAACCCCTATGCATACTGTACTAGTCTGGGCATGGCTCTTACATAATCTTCATTTATTTGATACAGACTTTTAATAGCTGAGTTTACCAGATGGAACCAAATTTTACTAGACTCAGGCTTCAGAGATTGTTGCACACTTATGCCCTTAGTTCATTTTTAAGAGTGAGTGAGTGAGTTAAATTTTTAAGTTATATAGGCAATATTTCAGCCATATCGTGACTATCATTTTTAAGAAGACATGCTTATATGTATTTTTACATTCATGGTAAACTGTGTGACACAAAAAAATAAGTGTTGTGTACATTGATCAATCGGAAGGGGTGTTAACTGGGATTGCTCACAAGTCAATATATGGGCAAATATCGCTATGAGCACTTATTAGAGTGGGGCGCTCATTACGTCGCATACGCTACATTCTACTTGTCATAAGCTAACCAAGTATACCTAATATCATCTCAGACTGGTCTGTGCTATGGATGTAATCACAAGAAGTTTTGAGCCTTGTCAGCAAAAAGTGTTCTCCAACAGCATTGTTTAAAGTGTAAACCATCCGTAACCAGTTAATGCCTTTAACATGCTCATTCTCACCACCAACGATTCTAGAATCCCTTTAATAATTCTGAGCCTTATTATTTACTCTGCTTACCCTATTTTAAGTACTTAAGTAGAACTTAATTACAGAACTGTTTTCTCATCTCAATTTTCTTCAAAGTAAGTAATCAAAGTAATTTCTATACTGTACTGTACCAGTAAAACTGATGGGACAGTCTTAGATCTATTGAGTTAGTACTATTCAGAAATAAAGAATCAATGATATCTTTTCCACAGTACAATAACCTCCCTGGGATTAGAACCCGTGATCACAGATTTCTGGCATGCCCATCTCTGCAGAGCGAATTTCAATGCCTTAGACAACAGGACCACCCATGACCCCCTAACCCCTAATGAGTTAGGTCTTCTGTTGTATGTAATGTGTTCAGACAAAACATACCATAAATACCCTGTCACCTAACCAAACTAGTGTACAAATATTTTACATTCTTTAAAAGTGGGCTGCACCCCACCTGAATCTGTCAGGGTTTGAGATTTTCTCAAGTCTTTGAGCCATACAAGAATTTACTCACTTGTTATCATTTACATAGGATTTTTAATCATTTTCTTCGGGTATTCAATATATTCTACTCCCTTGGATCCAATCTAGAGGGTAGTTTAAACCAATGAGTACACGTTTTAAAAAAAATTCTCCCGAAAATTCTGTTTCGGGTAACTGCTTATATTCTTCTGTTCGTTGTCGGCCCAAAATGTGTCCGATGTCACATGTTCTCGCAACAGTCACTGAGTCATACATCATGATATAAGTCACTTGCCATAAGCGAGACGTAGCACTTTTCTGCATTATTCACATCAGTAGAGCTTATGTTTAGGTGATGCCTGCATTCAATCAATACATAAAGAAGAGTACAGATATTCGGGTACGAAAGCTGAAATGTCTACATTGGGTAATAACACAGTGTTTTAATTATATTTTGTTTAAATTTCACATGTGTATATCTACGCAAGCAGCTCAAAATTAATTGGGTTATGGTGATATATTTCACATATTTTAATCAAATAAGCAGCTTACTAAGAGCTCTGATCTACACAGGTGTTACCACCAATATCATTATTCACGAGGAAACAAACAAAACAAACTCTCTAACACCATATATCGTGTACATGCAAACTTATATCAATTAACTTCAGCCATTTAAAGTCACAAGTCATATTTTCCTGCTTTGGTTATGAAACTCCTGGTATCATGCAATGCATGTGATTGCCACATTCATCAAAGTGCATCACCATACACCTTACAATCAAACTACTCCACACACCCATAGAGCAGCATGCCATACACTAATCCACCACAGTGCCACTGTTTCAGCAGGTGCAGCCTGCCTTGCTATATCTACAATGTTTAAGCATAGACATATGTGAGGGTGGAGACATGTTTTAACAAACAGGATACTACAAAATGATTGCGTAATTCATTCTTGTGCAATACTTTGGAAATTGCTTCAAGAAAATTGAGACAAAACTGTTTATACAAGAAGTGTTGACTGTTGACCTACATGATCATGTTTAATATTTTTTTAATAATTTGCTTGTTAATATGGTTAAAATGGAATGAGTGAGTATTGTTTTACGCCACATTTAGCAAAAGTGGAGGACACCAGAAATGGGCTTAACGCGGTTAAAATAAAGATGGATGGCAAAAAAATAACTGTAAAAGATATCTATCACATCTTCAACATATTTGTAACATTTCATTCACTTTGACATTGGTGTTCCATAAGCAAAGCTTGCACTTTTTCTCCTTATGCTAAATTATCTTCAAATACCACCCATCACATATAAATCAATGCTAAAACCTCAGGGAGCAGGATAATGAAGCGTTGTATGTGAAAACATGCTAACTAAAAATGTCAAGCTCACCCCATTGCTTTCAACCAACACACATCAGATCTACTAAAACTAAACATACTGAACAAATATCAAAGATAGGTTTCGTGGTCATTGACAAATGTTAAAACGTGTGATTCTAGACATGACAGAAAAATCAATTAATGGTTATTTTCAGTACAATGAATACTGTAAGTCAAAGTCAACCAACAACCCTAATCTGTGTCACAAAGAATTCCCAAATAACTACATGTTTTAGCTTTGCATGTTGCTTATAGCACTTTATTTCCATTTTTGTCTGGTTAAATTTCAAAGATTATCCCTCGGCAGATGAAGAGATGGACCTTTTAGGGTTTCAAACTCTGATCAAAAGATTAGTTTATGTGAAATGGTGAGGTGTGTCAGTTGAAGGTTAGGAACTGGATTTGGTTAAACAAAAGATTGAATTGTGATGTACAAGACAGTGATGACGACGTTGCCTGCGACATCAACTTACTTGCGCTATCCCCGTGACTGAGATAGCGACTCCATGCTTGGTGTAGACCTGTGGACTCTCTATAGTGAGAGTCAGGGTATTCAGACTCATTCTGAGTCACACAGGGGAGAAAGTGAAAATATTACTAACATGTGCACAAAACATGGTTCAGAAAATGTGTTAAAGAATGCATAAGAGAATCGGTATTAGAAACCAGCACTAGTCGTATCTAGTCGAAAAAATTAATTTTGGTTTATCGACTTCAATCCTTTTCATTTTCACATTACTAATGTTACAAGTCTATGGGGATGCTCAGATACGCATACCAAATCTACCATAGCCAAACACCCCAATGTCTCTTGGACATTGGAACACTTGTTATAAATGTATCCAAAGGAATAGCAGAATGTTAAAACTGTTAATGGTTTTCCAAGATGTCCAATACATTATCATCTGAAGGACTAGATTCGAGTAGTGACAAAAACAATCAGTTTCTTCTACTAAGTATCATACACATCTATATGACATCAAAAGATAGCACAATTCTTTAACATGTCTACTTCAGTCCAAACAACAAATAACATGATCATAATGATAAAAATAATTTCATTAATCACATAAAGGACAGCTGAATCATACATTTAAAGCACACTCAGTGTTTTACACTGTAGTGAGCAATATTGCAGCCATAACGTAAATATCCAAATATGTTTGGCTGATCAGTGCCTTCGGGGTACGAGGACACTGTAACCACACCATCATAATTTTTATAAGCATAGGATACTGGACTTTATTAGGCCAAGGAACCTGCACAGAAGAGATGGAGGCATAGTACTCTGGCTGTCGTACAACAGCAGACGTTATTGATTGTATGATCATGATGGCAGATCAGTATTGTCATTCCCATGAAGAAAACATTCATGGTTAACACCCTTTTAGTTCAGACAGTCCCTCAAACCATTAAGCAGCTCTGTCAGGTAAATAATGGAGTTGGGGTGAGATATATGTTTTTTCAGGAAACACTTCCCCTTCACACATACATGACATATACGATATATCCTCGTTGAGTCATACTTGAAAATGAACAGGACATGCTAAGTAAAATGGAAATACCTACCTCTGCAGTCTCTGGATCCCAGGCCAGACGAACACACGACCACCAGGCACAAACACTGACCGAGAGTGGCAGCATCCTGAAAGATGACAGGAATAACAGTATCAAACATATGATTGAGCTGGTACATGCATTGATTGAAGTTTAATGCCACCTGGAACAATATTTCAGTAATATCACAGCATGTGAGGTGTGGGAGGATGTTGGTCTTCAACCATAGTTGTTTGCAGGTTAAATACTGTTAATACAGTGCTGAAAAACCTGGAAACAATCATGATCACAGGTTTCTGGCACTTAGAGTGAGTTGGGTTTAACACTTCTTTGAACAGTATTTCAAGTATATCACTTTAGTGAAACCCACGAGCATGGGTATGGTGCTGACAAACCTAGAATCATAATCATGGCAAACAGGGTTTGAACCCAGGATCATGGTAATATGTCAAGACTAAATGAATGGTCAATTCTTTTGAAAACTTTTAGACTTGTTGAATTATATCTCACCACTTACAACTATCAATAATTTTTAACAAAATATTGAGCAGTTATTTCACATCACATGTTGAGTGGTGACACATTTATGCATGAACATGTGGACATCTAAGATATAACAAAAACAGTTGCTTTCAGTCTTCGGCAGTTGACATGATTGACAATAACAAGTCTTTTTCGGTAAATTTAGATTTAGTTTATGTAAGATATCATTGATTACACAATTTTCATATTGATAGTCGTTTATATTTCTTCCCATCGGCGATAATTCCAAATATCAATCTTTCTAGCCAGCCCTATCTGGTAGCATCATGAACTCTGCTTTACAAAAACAAGGCACATTGAAATTTAGTAATTAACTGAGTAACTGTATCATGTCATGAAATCTGAAAATATTATATATTTTAAAAACTACAGAAAAGAACAACAATATTATCATCTTTTCCATCATGGCCATAGGACACTAATAACATGAACAAAAATGCTTTTGTTTGCCATTTTGAAAAGTATGCAAACAAGTAAACAACTTTTGAAAAACTCTTTGGTGTATGTCATTCACTATAACCTAAAATAATTACAAAAAGCAGTAGCATTTTAGAAAGTTTGCTCTCGATTGATAATACTGATAGTATCCTTTTCAATTTTGGATTATTTTGGATTATTCAGGTTTATTTGTGAATCATATTATGCAAAAAAAGCATGTTCATATGGTCATCATTTTCCTCGTGGAAGTTCAATTTACTTGTGTCTGTTGTGCCAAATTTCATATATTTGGGATTAATAAAAAAAATATAAGGTGTTTTGCTTTAAAATGATTAAGAAGTGCCTTCAGTCTGTATATTAGCCACACCATTACAATTGTAATTGTGCACTGACACTCTAAGTCTAATACAAGAATTTCAAAACCTGGTTCACCAACAAATCAACACCCACCCCAAGTGCACCATTTCTACAGTTACTTTCCTTTGATTATCAACTGAAAAATCTGAATTAGAAATAAATATTTTTCATCAGACAAAATGCAGAAATATATGAAAGTATGGACGATATGCATGATATGCAGTACAATATTCAAGTTAGAATACTTGGAAAGCATAGCACTGGAGTCTTTCGCAATAGGCAACAGCTCATTGGGGAATTAAATACACAGATATGTTGCAATATCGCACAGCCTTCAGATCCGTGCCACGCACAAATGACCTTTCTGTTGCATTTGTAAACATTCATAAATACTGAATGACCATAAGCATGTATACGATGTATGGGTCAGCACGTTACATATAGGCCCTATATGTTTTGTTTGTTTACGTTTGACCTGTTGCGGTTCAAGCTGTTTAGTATGAAATACGAGGATTTCTGAACTATGCGAAAGGAATGTCAACGATCCATCTCGGGGTGTTTCCTTGAAAGTCTATAGATCATGAACACATTTCGTATAAAAACGACACATACTAGCGATATGTTAGAGGGGTTTAGTTAGGCTGGAGGTTCGCCGAATTGATGTCAAGATAGCATTAACGTAAACAAACGCGTATAATTTTATGAGCGATGCTTCAGCGTACTCTTAGTATGGTATTTGCCGAAATCCGGGCGGGTATTGCGCAAACCACAGGTGCTTGTTTTGGTAACCACGTCTTAAAAAACATGCAAAGTTTCTGTGAAACAATATGAAACATTAGACTGACCTGACACAACCATCACCTCGTTTGGACCACATGTTTCGAAGCCCATGTTTGCGGTTTACCGAAAATATTGGAGGTCCCTGTCAGAGCATAGGAAGTTATGGCTGCCCTTGTTTTTGTCCTACTCTTACGGAGAAAATGCCAACGACGATTATCATTGGTTAAAAGTCTCATATTTTTGTGCTACGCAGTTACCTCCCTTAGTCCATTTGGGCATTATGCTCATTTTTATACGTTTAGTGCAATAAATTATCAAATGTATTGATTTGTCATTGGTTTAAATATATTGTTGGTAGAATAAACTTATCACATGTTTGCAGAAATAGCATTTCTTAGTGCATTCATGATTTTAGTCAATGTGAATTATCCTTTCAGGAATAATAGACACTGAATCTATTTGATTCATTCATGACCACATGCTTTCAATATGTTTTGGTTTTGTTGTTATTTTCCTTTTGATATCTTTTAAATACAAAACAGCTCTTCCTAAAGGGAAATTATGTTACACATTCTTGTCCCAGCATTAGTCTGGACTAGTACAAGCAGCCACACACACACACGTGCATGCACGTCGCTATATAAATATAAGTGCAATAATCCTGAACGCACCTTAAACCCCATTTCACCTCACCTCACCTCACCTTAACTTTCTAGAACAGATCTTTCAAAACAAGTTTCTATAACAAGGTAACAACAACTTATCGAGCAACTGTCCCATACCTGTAAGGAATAAATTTGAGATATTTAAACCCGACATATTTTTTTCTAAAGGCATACGTCAGCGGAAGATCTTTTACACAGATACGATATCTCTGTGCGTGAAAATCTTATAAAACATCCACCAGAGGTTGCATCAGGTGAACTTCCAATCAACCATGCCCATTTTCAGGCTTGGTCTTATTTGAAGTTATTTCTTTCAATAATGAATTTTGTTTGTTGTTTTAATCTGCACTTATATCCCAGCTATATGACGGCGGTCTGTAAATAATCATATCTCGGTCGGACAATCCAGTGATTGAGGCCATAAACATCGATCTACGCACTTGGGATACCACACGCAATCACCAAGTCACCGATCCTGACCAACCGATCCATTTAGTCACTTAGTACGACAAGCATGGGATGCTGGGGGCATATATGCTTACCGGAATCCGCACAGGACTCTGTAATTAGTGTGACATTGTAATTAGTGAACGAGGGAGATAGTTCTATGGATACACTTATTCTTTATTACAATGACGGCAACATTTCGGTGTAGATACTTACACCGTTATCAAACAACTGGTGAACAGAAATGTTGTTGTTGCTTTAAGTGCTAAAGAGGTCGCCTTCTGCCGTAGCAATTTCGGCTGACCTGTCCCTCTTTGTGTGTGAGTAGGGTACACATAACTATTGTGAGTTTGGTATTCATATAATTTCTGTTTTTGTATTGATATTATTTCTATTTTCGTATATTGATATAATTTCATTTTTATCTTTGGCTGCTCTGTATATATACGTTCGAGTATCTGTCCATCTCTCAGAAATAGAGTTAGTTTGGCCATCGCCATTGCATCTCTTGGCTTTAGAGATGTACGAGAGATAGCGGATCTAACTGCAATTCTTGTTTTAGCCGAGCCTGGGCTGGAACATGGTCTTGACATTCTAGTAACAAGTGAGCAATGGATTCAGCCTGATTGCAAGATGGACAAACCTTGTCAACGTGCTCTTTGTGACCGAGTCTGGGGCGTGAGATGGCAATTTCAACTTTCCTTTCGTTTGAGTATGAGTTCGATTTGGTGGATCTTGGGTTGAATTTTGTATAGCCGTCTGCCGATCTAACTTGCGTCCCACTGGGCTTGCCATCTTTGGGCTAGGGTGACTTTGCTTTTGCTTTTTATCTCTAGTTTACTAAAGGGAATAGGCTGTATCTCCGATTTGTTTAGAGCTAGCTTCGCCAGTGTGTCTGCTTTTTCATTTCCATGAATATCTATGTGAGAGGGGATCCAACACAGCTCCACCTGTTGCCCTTGGTCCGATAGTTTCGATAGTGTATATTCGTATAGAATATTATTGACTGTGTTTGGCCTGGCAAGAAACAGAAATGTAAAGTATGGAGGTTATATACATGTGGATACATGATGTTTATACAATATAATGTTTACACAACGGAAAGCCATGGATAGGATTAATGAGGCATGATGGGTAGAAAGAACGTAATATCCTTGAACTCTGTTGATGGCTGGAATCTCTTGATGTAGACGGCTTCTAGAAGTTTCCCGATCTTGTAGTTGGTATGCTTTGTACGTTGATGTTGTTGCAATGGATGTAAGGTGATGGGGTGGCCTAATGGTTAAAGCGTTCGCTCGTCAAGCCGAAGGCCCGTGTTCAGTTCCCCCCATGGGTACATGTGAAGCCCATTTCTGGTGTCCCCCGCCGTGATATTACTGGACTATTGCTAAAAGCGGCGTAAAACCATACGCACTCACTTCAAAGGATGTTGAGGTCTGGTTGGGCTTGGATGTGGCCAGGGATGGCGGATTCGGAGTCTCTTTAAGACTTATGTTTCTTAATTCTTACTGGGAGAGGCCTTGATGTTTCTCCAATAGTCACCACAATCACATATTTATGACCTTCCAACGGCTTACCATGAGCCCACCACTAAACATTCTTAATCCCACTTTCCATTGTCCATTATATCGATATATCTTAATCCCCCCTTCTTATACTGGCTTCCAATCAACTTCCATATCAGTCACTGTATTGTTTTACCATAATGCCTTGTTAATCCTATTTATATACATCAATCAGGCTTTATAATTTAACCTTTTCTGTTGTGTAAACATTATCTTGTATAAATATCAATTATCCACATGTATATAAAATTGAAAGTTTCAACAGAATCCTAAAATTCTGATAATTACAAGAATAGAAAAAAAACACAAACCTCTTCTTTTGTAATATATTGCTAACTTACAAATTAGTAATCAGGGGATATCGCTTTAGTTTACCCACAAGGGTAGAAAGATCGGGTATAATTACTTGATAGTTATACTTTTATATCCATTGCATGTATTAGTAGTCCTCGATGCCGATTGGCCAGTTAAAGTGATATGAGGTCACATTGCTGCTTTTTAAGAATAATGCTTTTTTCAATGCTTCTTTTTAAGAAGACATCAACCATTGTTCATGGCGTCGAAACTAGTTTTAATATAATATGGGATAATCTAGTTATTTTACTGTCCATTGTCGGCAGGTTTTTATATATTATTTCATAACTTGTGAAGGTCACATTATGGCTGAAATACTGCCAATGTGACTTTAAATATTAACTCACTCATGACGTCGCAGATTGCTAATTTAATACCATTATCTGAAAAAAATGGTTGACTTCAGTGACGTTTTCCAGTCGGGATGACATGTCATATGTTTTTCTTCATTTCTTTCTTAAAATGACGATACATAACATACAGATGGAATAACTGAAACTCGGAATTGCGGTTTTTGTGTGACTCGTGGATGAATGTTGAGAGGACTTTAACAAAGGCTGGGGCTTACACCATTCACTCACTCATGACCGATAATCCGTAAATCCTCGTGGCTTGTTTCTTATTCTCTAACTTTAACACAACTAATATCTGTAGTGGGAGCTGAAGTTGGATAATATACAATGAATCGTCCGAACATGTTAATCTCTTAATCTGTGAATAACTGTAACAGAATACAAGGTTTCAGATTGGTAAGTCGAAAGGGGACCTGGGTTATAGGTCTCCAGCGCTTGATTGTTTGTTGTAAGTGCCGCATCAATACACCGCTTCCAGTCCCGACCGATAAGCCCCACCCATAAGCTGCCGTCCTCCGCTCAGAATATTTTGGTACCAGTCGCGTTTCAAAAATATCTAAAGAGAGTTATATATAATCTGTTTTTGGTTATAATTTAGTTGTCAAATTGCATATGGGGAGTGAAAATGAGCATAAACCGCAGCCACGTCGCTTCTAAGGTATCGTTTAACCCCGGAAGTAAGTCTTGACAAATCCGCAAAGTGCGCCTGGCCTTCTGATTGGATCAAACTCCCGCATGCGCTAGTCGACAGATTGGATCGGCCTATTGGAGTGTGTGAGTGAGATTGAACGCCACTATTCCAGCAATATAACACCGGAAATGGGGTTCACACATTGAGGGGATTAGAACCCGGGCCTTCAGAATGACGAGCAATGTTTTAATCACTAGTTTAACTCACCGCCCCCTTCATTGGATTGACTTTTGCGTGTGTGTGTGTGTGTGTGTGTGTGTGTGTGTGTGTGTGTGTGTGTGTGTGATTGTACTAGTCCGGACTAACGCCGATTTTATAATGCCACCCCACTGACATATCATGCCACACTTTAACATGTATACTGACCCTGGACCGACGAGTCCTTGATTAAAATCCGTAATGCCAAGCGCCAGGAAGGGTAACAACAAGTACCATTTCAGTCTTTTAGTATGAAGCGGCCGACAACGGAGATCATGGACGGTTAATGGTCAAAAGAAATCATCTGGCCAAAAATCGAATGGAAATTTTGGCAGTTAAAATTGCTTGTTTTAAAATCAAATCCCCTAAGCTACGATGTCACGGCAGCACCCAGTAAATGTGGCACTGTTACCTGATACGTAACTTAATACTATAATTAAGTCAATTCTCTTAAAAAATGTTTCCTTTGTCATATTGGCCCATTGATGCAACATCCGATTTTGGTATTTACGTTTTTGGCACAACACATCGAATGGCTTTAAATGTAAGATTTTCCTTGAGTTGCAGAATTGCATTCCTTATGTGATGCTGCAATTTCTACAACTTGACACACTCGTGTTTGTTCCTCCCACACACAAGGGGACACAGAACAGGTCCCCAGTAACCTATGACTGTCCTTGAGGCCACTGAAAACTCTCAATTCCACAAGGGAAATCAATTTAATCACCTCTTACGTTCCTAGGTTTCTAGGGCCTATACTACTCAGAATAAGTTAAGGACCACCCGCTTCTTCCATATTACCATAGTTACTCTGTCATGCCATAACAGATTAATTATCCTAACATGAAAGAATTGGATGTCCTTAACCTGTATTGAGCAGTACATGTTCCATTACAAAGAATCCCAAAAGGTTGAAACATTAAT